ACTTTATTTCTAAATGCTTTATAACTGTCAAGGTTTTTAAAATCATAAGGTAACTTATTATAAACCTTAATGCTCTTATATATCAGGGAATTTTGTGTGAGAGTGAATTTAGGTGTTGGTACTGGAATATTATTAAAATGTCTTGTTGAATAGGGATGCATGTGTGTAGAATCTTTATATTTTTTATGGATAAGGCAGACTGTTTCGAGTATATAAAGACTTGTAAGAGTTAATATTTTTTCTCTTTTAAACAATGGTTTACAGTGTTCTCTCGGGTCTGCTCCACAAACATGTCTTACACAACGTTTCTGAGAAATGAAAACCGAATTCCACAAGTACTGGCTGCAATTACCCCAAAAGGCAATTCCATATCGCAAGTGGGATTCAACCAGAGCATGATATGTGATTTTGGCCATTGATGTTCCTAGCCCACAGAAGGTTTGTCGTACTGCAAAACCTCCCATTGCTATCTTGGTATTCAAGTTCAAGATGTGCTGGTTAAATTTTAAGTTCGTATCTATATGTAATCCGAGAAACTTGGTGCTTTTAATAGAGCCAATCGCCTGATTTGCCATGTCTAAATTATTTAATGAAAATTTAAAGCTAACAACTTTTGTTTTTTCTACATTAAAACAGAAAAAATTTGCATCACACCATTTCTTATTTTGGTGTAAGTCGTCTGAGATAAACTCCTTCAAAACATTCGGGTCTCTATGAAACCAAAGAGGTGCGATGTCATCAGCAAAGCCAGTGAACTTACATTTAACTGGTAGCTCGAACAGGTCATTAACATAAATCAAAAATAAAATAGGTCCAAGGACTGAGCCTTGTGGCACACCTGTATCAATGGGTAAAGACGATGACAAGGAATTGTTATTTTTGACCATTTGTGTCCTTCCTGTCAGGTAAGAATTGAAAAATCTTGACGATACTCCTCTAAAGCCATAAAAGTACATTTTGTCCAGAAGCAAGTCATGTCTGACACAATCGAACGCTTTAGAGAAGTCGCAAAATACAGCAGCTGCAAACTCTTTATCATTCAGTTTGAAGTAAAGCTTCTCGAGAAAAGAAAAAATGGCATCATTGGTGCCTTTAGATGATTGAAAACCGTATTGACATTCGCTAATAAAATTATGACGGTTTAAAAAATCAACGATCCTGTCCTTAACAATTTTTTCGATTATCTTAGACAGCGTATTTAAAAGGGAAATCGGTCTGAAATTGGCTGGGTCAGTATGGGAACCTGCCTTATGTAGTGGGATTACCAAAGCCACTTTTAGAAAATCAGGAAATTCTCCAAATAAAAAACATTTGTTTATAGTTAGAGCCAACACATGCAAAACATTGTCATCAAGATTTTGAAATATTTTGACTGGGATTTCATCGATTCCCGCAGAGTTCTTGTTTTTAATATCTGTTATTATAGCTTTTATTTCATACGCATTTGTTTCAGTCAGTAGAAATGGTTCGCCGATATACGCTTGGTGATTAAGATAAGATAGGGGATTTGCTAGGGGTTCCAAATTATCTGAGAGTCTTTTTGCAACCGTACAATAAAATTGATTAAAAGCGTTTACTTCTATTTCAGCAGGTGGCTTGGCAAGGCTGTTTTTTCCCTTAAGCTCGTTCACAATTGCCCATGCTTCTTTTGCGGTATTTTTAGCGTTATTCATCCTATTTTGATAGTGCCAGCGTTTAGCTGTTTTGATCACTTGTCTGTAGATTCGTTTATAATTTTTTAAGTAGTTGTCAAAAGCAGGGGTTTTTGTAAATTTTTTTATATAATTAAGTGATTTTAAATTCTTAGAAGCAAGTTTTATGCCCTTTGTTAGCCATGACTTTTTGTGATTTTTTGCTCTTAACTTGCGTAACGGAAAGCATCTGTCAAAAGTATCATACAACAGATAGTGAAATCTTTCGAGTGGATTTTCAGATTCAGATATGCATCCCCAATCAACGGAAGAACAATTAGTTCGAAATGTTTCAAAATTCGCCCCTGAAAAGATTCTTCCATATCTAGATGGTATTTTTATACAGTCCCGAAACAGGCTGAAGCTGGCCAGCAATGCCTCGTGATCGGAGAGATTTGGAGTAGCGATTACATTACAGTTAACCTTATCTTGATTTATGCTATGTTTCTGCTAATATTAAGGCGTTGGGTTGGCTCAAATGTGATAATAGTTATAATTATAATATTACAGTATTTTTAAGAAAGTTAATAATGAACAAAGAACCTATTTATTTGCATGAAAAACTTACTTTTAGAGAGGCTGTGCATAGTCGTAGTTTAAGGGATAAAATTTTTCTAACAATGCCACATCATAGAACTTCATTGTTTCAACGGGGTTTTACTTATAATTCTGTGAAATATTTTAACAAATTACCTGGGCAATTTAAAGAGTGCAATTTTAGCTTTCTGAGATCTAGATATAAGCAACATTTGTTAGCAATACAGTAGTTTATATAAGTTTAGTAAGGAATAAATTTCTCGAGTAGTATTGGAGCTGGATGAAAATGTTCTTAGGGCTTTAGTGTTGTTTCTGTGACTAGGTATTAGTGGGTCTGGTGCAAGTGGTTAAGTGGAAGAATGGCCACAAGGTTAAACTTCGCCATTTTGCACCCTTCGTGAAGTTAAATAAAGGCGATATTTATTTATTTATAACATATAGTATAATTCAATAGTAATAGACCGATCTCCTTTTACCTGCGCGCGTCGCTTGTAGGCTGCAGGTGAGCGTCCAATGAGAAGCAAGTTTGTGACAGGCTTGCGTCATATTCTAATTCAGGAGCCAGTTCAGAATCAATCGTTCCTTCTTTCTTTGTAACGTGTAATTTGACAAAGAGCTAACTAATACTTTACATATTACTTGAACTCACCGCAGTTTCGTTTAAGGTTATGTTAAATTTTACTTGACATATTTCATTGAGCGATGTTGCCGGATGAAACATTTATCAAAATAAAAGTGCAGACGATAGTCATCCACTTTAAAGCTCTTCTTTTATCTGATTTAAGGCATTGTAAAACCCTCGACACTATATCACTTCTTTAATGTCATAATGTTCGATTTGTATTGTCTACATTTTGTTCTGCAACAATACAATCTGGCTACACTGCAGCCTACGAGTTGCGCGCGCATGTCATCTTCTATTGCTTTCTAACTTGTATTTATTACAATTAAGCTCACTTTTTCTAATCATGCGAAACAGGTCTATTAACCACCAGTAGCTTTTTGTAGGTGATATCAACGACATAATCAATAAACATACATTTTTTGCCACCAAATGGCCGCGTTCACCAGATACAAACGTTGATAAACGGTTTGCGATTGTTATGCTGAACGCTACGTTAAATTTGTGTTAATTTAACATAATGAGTGCGACAAAAACAGGTATCCCCTCCGCAGCAGCGGCACTAGGCTTCAGGTTCGTCAATATAGAATTCCAGTTTTTGGTTATAGTTCATTGGTTAAAACCAAACATGTTTTGCAAACGGTCGCCATTTTTGCAAGCATGATTTCAGAGTGTTTATAATTTTCAACACAGTTTTTTGTGTGGTGACCTGTCATTCAGAAGGTGACGTTCTATTATTGAAAAGTTGAATCGTTCAGCAGAACCAAGAGTTTACCCAACATCTTCTGTTGGTATTTGTAAACTGTTTACAATCCGTTTTGGTTCTGGTGAACGTAGCCAATAATATCACGTGACTTTAAAATGGTATTTGTCGGACAGGTACAGTTTCATTTGTAACAAGTTTCTCTGATAAGTAAACTACTCAACAATAGGTTCGTTCCAAGCATAAATTTCACCAATTTTTGAGACGCGACAACTTTTTAGTAAATTAACGGAAAAATATGCCGTTTTCGCCATTTTTGAAAGCGATTTCTTGTTAACCATCTGCTTTACACAAAAAAAATATATAGAATTTGAGTCTTTTTTTATACAGGCCTACAGGGTGATATGGGAAGTGCGGTAAAAATTCAAAATTTTTGTTGCTACCCCATTTTTCCAATTATTTTTATTTATTTTTTCTAGGCATAGTCAAAGTCATACCCGAATGATTATTATATTATGTTCATCCCTCGAACTGTTTTTGGATTTTTTCTTATTAGTTGTATTCATGCTCGCATGTAGTTTATTTGCCTATGGAATGCTGTTAGATTCACAAAAAGAACAGGCAATTCTCAACTATAAAATTTGTTATATTCTGTAAATGTGCTTGATGGGCGATCTCTTTATGTTCTCTAAAAATCTCTTTGTTCCCGAAAATCATCGAATGAACCGCATAGGTACAGTCAGTAAACAATTCATAATTCATTATAGAAGGTACTACAATAGTTATTTACATTACAAGTGCGTTTATGAACATGATTAATTACAATAACGAGCGTGAAAGATTAGAACGACGAGGTCGTAGACCGAGTCGTTCTAATCACACGATTTTTGTAGTCATGCCTAAAAGCATGTGTGATGTACAACGTTTTATCTACAAAGCGAAAAATAAAATGTTTTTCAATTTACGATTATTATTAGTCTCCGTTTTACCTTTACAGGTTTAACTATGACATTTGTCAAATCACAAAAAGTAGTTGTTATAACTTCATAGCCTAGTCCATAGTCCATAACGCCACTAAAGTTTTTTTTTAAGATAAAAGTCAAAATGACATTATGTTGGCAATACAATGTAAAATTGTCAATGCTTTCAAATTTTTTATGTAGAAAAGGCTGGTGTTACCAACATAGTTACTAAATTTTTGACTTGGGGAATTATCTTTAAATAAAAAACAAACTTTAGTTGTGTTATAGAGTCATAACCTAGTCCATAACACCACTAGTTGTGTTATGAGTCTCATAACATAACTCAAATACTAGCAAAATGGTTATGTAAAAACTTCATAACCAAACTCTTGCAGATAAAAAAATGAAATCTACGGCTTAGTGACCACTGTAGAACATTCATATCCAATAACTGTGATAAATTTAACTCTGTGATATTTTTTTAGAATGGCTGCTAAAGCGAACAGTTCACAAAGTGGCCCTAGTAATAACCAATGTCAAATCCATGGAAGTAATGGAAAGGTGGGACTTCAAAATCGAATATGAAGGAGATCCTTCTGAAGGTGACGCTCAAACGTCCGAAAAACCACTAAAGCAAATAAAAAACGAAATCCGAGACGTCCTAAAGCAAATCGCTTCTTCTGTTGCCTATTTACCGCTTTTGGATTGCCTGTGCAGCTTTGATTTGCAAATTTACACTAAAAACGGTGTGGATTTGCCTAATGAATGGAGCGAAGCTGAACCTGCCAATATTAAAAATGCTCAGAGTGTCAAAATGAGATCTTTTTCAACAAATATTCATAAAATGGAGACGGCTGTTACTTATCGAAATGATGACTGAATATGTCTAGGTGAAATTTTACTTTAATTTAAGATTAATTTTTTCTATTTTTCTACCCTTGTCATAAATATTTGTACCTACTAAAATCTAGTTTAATAGCTGATTGTTCTATTTCTGTTCATAACATTTATATATAAAAAAATAAAGACAAGAAAAAAAATTCCTAGAGATTTATTGGAGCAATGAATAGGTAGTTTTAGCTTCAGATCAGATATGAAAATTTCTGTTTCATGTAGGTTTTCAAGTTGCAGAAAATGATTTTTGACGAAAGTTGTTTATTTTTCAATGGTCAGAAATAGTATATTACATAACGAGTGTAGAAAGTGACAAATTTCACACGAGTGTATGAAAGACGCTTTCTCACAAGTGAGGTACACTATTTTTCCTACTACTAGAAACCGATTTAAACCAATTTTCTCTTATTTTATTTCTTTTAATTTTCAACACACATGCTGAAAGTACTTTCAATACACGTATTGAAAGTAAATTGTGATGTCAATCACAAATAATGTTAACAGTCGACAGTATTTTCGACACGTGTGCTGAAAGTAATTTTAGAACGCATATTGAAAGTACTTTCAGCACGCGTGTGATATTAAGCGCTTTCCAAAGAACCAGCTAGTGCGGATTTTGTCATTTTTGTATATGGTCGTAGGAAATAGTATATTACATTACGAGTGTAGAAAGTGACAAATTTCACACGAGTGTATGAAAGACGCTTTCTCACAAGTGAGGTACACTATTTTTCCTACTACTAGAAACCGATTTAAACCAATTTTCTCTTATTTTATTTCTTTTAATTTTCAACACACATGCTGAAAGTACTTTCAATACACGTATTGAAAGTAAATTGTGATGTCAATCACAAATAATGTTAACAGTCAACAGTATTTTCGACACGTGTGCTGAAAGTAATTTTAGAACGCATATTGAAAGTACTTTCAGCACGCGTGTGATATTAAGCGCTTTCCAAAGAACCAGCTAGTGCGGATTTTGTCATTTTTGTATGTGGTCGTAGGAAGAAAGTTTTTTGCAGATGCTAGTTTGTTTGTGCAATGAAAGATTTGAATTTTGTTGGAATTTTCGACATTTTTATGCAACAATTATCAAAACCCAAGAATCGTGAACAGGATTGCTCATCCTAATAAGGCATACGTTCACCAATTCTTGAGTAGACAAGGTTTGTGTGTGACGTCACCACAGCAGCTAATAGTGATGACGTCACCCGCAGACCTCGATGGAAGTCTTGCGACTAAGATTGTGCTCGTTATTTGAATTTTTCGTCGATTTTAAATGTAGAAAACGTCATTTAAACAAGATTTTAACGTTTAGGAATTCGTTTTTTTGACCTATACTATAGTGCTTTGAACTTGAATAATGCATTTTATTCCAAGAGTTGAGGTCTGCGGCTGACATGGCAGTTGGCAGACACTTTCAGCTTTCAACTCAATTAAGCAGTCCTACTAGGAATTAAAAACAGGATAATCTCTGCCATTTTGTGGACACCTGAAGTAAAGATGATTCGTTTTTTTCCTACGAATGTGCTGAAAAAAAAACTTTTGGCATACACAAAGACTAAAGGTAATCTTTCCGCAGGCCCTTGGGAAAAATTGTGTTGCGAGAAATGGTATTTCCCGCACTTGTTAGAAAAATAACTATTTTTTTTCCCATTTGATATGAAAAAATTTTCCGCCCTGTGGGAGAACAAACGATTTTCCAGTTCCGCTTCAACCAAAAGGCAGTGCTTGCTCGTAGAAAAAAAATATATATTTATTTATACTCCTTCAAAATACAAAATTTGTAGTTTCAATTCTATTCAATTTTCAATTTATTCAATCATATGCAGTACAATCAAATTATAAAAGGTTATTATATTCTCTGTCAACTCAAAAGGCAGGGATAATAATAATAAAAAACTGTGGTGGCGTGCCGTGGTGCTGATTCCAGTCCCAACATGAAAATGCCAAAAATTGCTATGTCGCATATAAATTGTTTCGAGGCTACCACCAAGCTCTTGTGTTTTATCCTACCTTATATCTACACCAGCGCGCTGCGTTTTAAAAGGAGTGTGACCCAAAGATGAAAGTTTTAGTGCAAAAAAATCTAAGAATAAATATTTAAACCGCATCTTGCTATGATGTTCCGTTTTCGAGTTAGGGCGGTTTAAAGTTACAACTAGGTGTTTCTGACGTCACACTGGATTATCAAGCACAGTATAAACACTTAAAGTTTTCCAAAACAAAAGACATTTATCTCACTAAAACGAATGGCAACCACTCAAAGTAAAGGGTTATCCAATTACCGCGTGTTGCTAAATTCACCAAAATGGTGCACCGCCACGGATGCGGTGATTAAAATTCACTAATGCCAATGCCAAACCGTAGCTTGTCAAACCCTGTTTAATTTAACAACATTGCTTGTTCTACCATTCCACCACGGTGCCAACACCAGCTGAATTTAGCCACACGCGGTTATTGCTTTAGCATTTTAAAGTGAAATAAAGGCAACACTGTACATGTAAAAAAAATAATTATTTGGTAGTTTTAGATTGGTTTATTACAAAATGAAGCTCACTATGAAGGCAGCTTAGCGTGGATTAAGTGCACTTTAAAGTCAAAGTCAAAGTCAAAAATAGCTTTATTTGCATCTAACATAAATGGAAATTCCAGACATGGAATTACAGAGAATGCTGCTCATATCCACACCAAGGATCAGAGCTGTGTCAATAGAAGAAGGAAAAGTACCAGCAGGAAAAATTCAAGACTGAAAGAATTTCTAGAGGTAATGTGGAAGGTTGGTACCAAAAGCAATCGAGAGATTTTGAAAGGGGAAACTGAATGCTACTGCTGCGGAAAAAGAGACATGTTCAACGTGACTGTAAAGAACGCCTTTGATCGCTCTCACGCGACAAAGGGATTTTAAAGTGTAAATCTGAAGAACATGCAGGACAGAAAGTAAGTACATAAGTAAATTATCTAGCGAGTTGCGATATTCTGAGAGACTTCTGGACAACACCTTTCAGGTTCAACAGTTCGTTTGGGAGAAGGATATCTTTGAAGGTAAAAATGGCGCAACTGGTAAGGCCAACATCAAACCATAAAATAAAAAATGACAGTGCTCATCCAATCTGTCAGCCATCTTGAATACTCCCATGAATAAAAAACCAGCAGTGAGTCACTAGAAGACATTCTGCTTCCAGAGGGAGTTGTTGAAGAGTCAAAGAAAGACGGATCTACCAGATTTTGTGTCGCTTACAGAAAGCAAAACGGTGTCACTAAGAAAGACCCATTACCCAAAGTTGCTTACACTGTTTCTAAATACACCGAAATTTGATAAAAATAGGCTGTGAGCGGTTTTGCAGAAACTCCAATTTTATGTGCAAAAAAGCAGAAGTTTGTTTATTGATCATTTTAAAAAAAAAGGAACAAAAAAAACATCAAAAAAAAAATAAATTGATAACTTTTATTATAACAAATAAAAAAAAGTGCCATTTATCAATAAACAAACTTAACATAAACAATTGCCTAATATAACTACTATTAACACCAAACATATATTGTAAACATTAGAGCAGGGACAATAGACCTATCTATTTTACCAGACAAAGAGGTAATAATACGAAAACTGTATTAGAAAGAAAAAGACGCAGAACGCTTATTGCGCAAGACGAGGCAAAACGTACCATATTATGTTAGACTTACGTATAACAATCCGTTCTTATTATTTGCACGGGATAAAAAAGGAAGGAGGAAAACCGCGTGATGTGCAACGTATTTGTCAATCAAAAACACAAACAATTGAAAATCGATCACTTGTCAAGCTACGTCAAGTTGAATATCAAGCATAATTTTATCCTTGTCAAACCACGGACAATGAAGAAGGTCAAGGAGATACCCAGCGAGCAAAAGGATTACTTCACACCTGTACTAGTTAGCCAATAAAAATGCATTGCCTCGTGTTGCACGCGCATACAGGTAAAAATAGATAGGTCTATTATTATTACCAATAAATTAAAAGCATTAACCTACCGATAAGTATCTTCTGTAGCAGACATCGCTTGCTCAACATTATCCACAATGCCACTATCCTCTGCGAATTGCTTTTCCACACTTCTGGCTAGCAACTCTTCGGGTCGGTCCGGAAGTTCCGTTACATGAGATTGAGCGAGATCAGAAGGCATCAAAGGTTTTACTTTAACCAAGAAAAACTTTGTCCCTATTGGAACATTGAATCTATTGTTGCTCTGAGAAAAATGTGAAATTAAAAAACTATATAATCCTTCACTAAATAAATACCTTTTGAGTTTGACACAATTCCTTAGCTAAAACTTCCCCAGTACAATGTAATTTATTAGGTTTACCATCCGACAAGCTCAACCCTAATTTATCTAAACACTCTGAGTGCAAAAAATATGCATGCTTTGATTCTTGTAAAATCTTAAAATTCTTATGGTATTGGTCCCAAATAACTAGCACAATATCACCTATTTTGCAACTGTCAATATTCAAATTGGGTAGTCTTGCTGATACTGTATCACTTTTGGTCATTTCAAGGCTTTCACTGGGACTTGTCAAGTCAGGTTTGCTTAAAAACTCCACACTTTCCTGGCGTTCCCGAAGTTGCACCAACTGCTCCTGTAGATTCTTGTTTTCCTGTTTCAGGGCCTCAATTTGTTCATATAATTCGGATTCCATTTTGTCTTGTTGGTACTCGGCCAATTGTTGTATGGTAGTTTTGTGCTTTATTATTTCTAAATTTAGATTTTTTTCCCGCTCTCTAAGTATGTCAATTTGTTTGTCCTTATCTTCAGACACTCGCTTGGCAATATCTTGACCGTAAATTTCTTTATCTTCTTGATACTTTTGTTGTAGTTCGTTTGTTTTTTCTTCTAAAATTGTTTCCCAACGTTGTCTTTCTTCTGCAACGGCTTTTTCTTTGTCTAATTCGAAATTTTCCGTCATTTGTACCAGTAAAGTTGTGTGACCTGGTAAGCTAGAAAAATCCCCTGATTTTTCACGTTCTAATGAAGTCAAGGAAGGACTACGTTCCATTGTCATTAACCTAAAACTAAGATGATTTTTAAGTACAACACTTGAATTTACAAAAAATATATATTACCGGGATTTAATGTTATCTAACTCAGCTCGATGTTCCATCCTCAAGTTTTCTGTCAACTCCTTGAGACATTTTTCTTTATCTTCATAATTTTCTTGTAGTTGCCTCAAAAGTTCATCTACTTTATTAGCGCTTTCACTTAATCGCTCTTCTAATACATCTTTTTGCTTAAAGGTGTTCAATAATCGGTCTTCCACTGCTCTTTTATCTTCTTCCAGTCTCCTAATAAAATCTTCTTTCTCCAATAAATTGTAACGATACTGTTCCTTGTCATCATTATTTTGCCTCTGCATACTTTCCACTATTTCCTTCTCATTCCTATTTGTTTCTAATATTAAAGAGTTCCACGAACTACCAAAATCCTCGTAATGTTTGCAGAGTAACTGGGAGTCGTGGACAAATTGAGATTTAAATTCATTTAATTCGGTGCGCAAGTTTTTCGTTACTTGTTTAGCGATAATGCTCAAACTTAGGAACGAGTTTTTTAGTTTTTCATGTTCTGAACGTGATATTTGAAGATTATCCTGCAAAAAAATGTTAAGATAGTATACAAGCGTGACGTATGGCTAGTTCTTCAAACCGAAGCTTATTGAAAAGAAAAAAAGAATGTATTGCACCAAAGTTAAATGAGAAGGGACCAATATAATATGTATACAGGCATATGCCAATGATATATACCCAGTTGATTCTAGTACGCCCCTCAAATATTCACCAGAGTTTCCTCTGTGTTGGTGATGTTGATGATTTTGTCCTCTATCGATTGTAAATTTACAGGTCCATGATTAAGGTGGCTGTAGTTCATTTGAACGACTTCATAGAGAAAAGTTGCTGCTAGTTAAATCTGTGTGATTTAGTCGACGACAGAATGTAACCTTGACTAAAAATTATCCATGAGCCGTTAAAAAGTGTTGGAATTGTCCAGCATGAAATCAAATTTTCTTAAAAATTGATTCTCAGATTCTACACAAGAATATAGTGAAGCTGGTGAAACACCAACGCCACCAAGAAGGCAGAGCAAAATTGAAGCAGCTCCAGGTTATCTGAAGAAGCGCTATTTCGCACCAATTGCAAATTTATCAATAAAAAAAAGTTCCACAATCACATTAACTCCTGCCCAAATATTCGCTTTTTGAAGATATTGAAGACTTACTGGCATACTTGAATGTTAATTTTGCTGGAACCAACATCTGGCGAATGAAGAATCATGATGGAGAAGAAAGAAGATTTGCCCATGAAAATTAACATTTTGAAACATTTTCCCTTCTCATCTGTTTCCTCCCCCATAATCTCACAAAACTCCATACACAAAAATTGATCCTCTGAGAATTACACGTCCAATTGCAAACATCCAGGAAAAACCAATTGGCATCAGGGACTGTTTTCTTCATTTAACTTATCACTGGCGCATTCTGGGCACATCGCTTTTTCTCCTTTGCATTGAGCTTAGGTGTGAAGCAATAGCCTTGTCTGTGATTACAAAAGTTTGTAACATGAGCTGAGATATGAGCCTGAAGGGCAAGGAAGGAGAATTGTTACAGGAAACTGAAAATAAAAGAAAATTACACCATGTAATACTAATAATTGACTATGTAATCAGAACATTTGAGGATCGCGGTTCTACGCTATCAGGTACCTATTTTTCTAAGTTGTCAATGTTTCAATGGAAACCAAATAAAAGTCCGTGCAATAGCCAGTAAGGTGAAAGAAGAGCAAAAAAATAGTAGCAACTGAAAAATGTTACAGATATAAGGACACTAAAAACCTATTTCTATTGTGGCACATTTGAACTACTTGCCCAAAATCCATGATTAGCTTTAAAGGCATTTGAAATACTATCTCTTGAAACTAACTGCTGCTCAATCAAGGATTATTCAGGCTATAGTAGTTCAAATTAACCATCAAATTCCCTTGAGTTAATGCTTCCAATCAGGTCCATATCTCAGCATTTAAATTTAAGTACCATTATAAAATAAAATCAAGAAACAAGCACCAATCAGAGCCTGGGAAAAAATTATTTTTCTGAGAAGCATAATGCGCTCTAATTCAATATGACAACCTCTAGAGCAAAAAAACAAAAACAAATGAATAAACAAAGGAAGTAAAAAGCTGCAAAAAAAAACGAAAGAAAAAAACTATGAGAAATAATCCAGCAGAATCCAGATACCTGAAGCATAGCAACCACGATATTAGCAGTATCCAGTTGCCTAACAAACTCCGATCCCTGGCTGTTTCCAGTACCAACACTAGATGGTAGGCTTTCGTCAATATAGTACTCATCAGTGGCAAATAAGTCAGGTTGGTTGGAACAGGTTTGTTGGGGCGAATAATCGTCACCATCTCTAGGACTTTGGGGCGAAACGGATTTCGAGCGACTGAGCATCAGATTGGAAGTTTTATTATTATAATGAGATGTAATATTTGAAGACAAACTGGTTATATCAGATAAATGCAAAGAACTATTACTGATGCTTGTTTGGTCCTTTAAGTTGCTCTGATTACAATGGGAATTGAAGCAGCTATCGGTAGTGCTGCTGAAGTTTTTAATGCTTGAGAGCTCGTCAATGGAATCCAGAGATATATTTTTAATATTTGTGAAACTTTCGTTGGTACTGATGCTCAACGTTCTCTGCATCGGGTCTGATTCAAAGGATTGGGTCGCGCGAAAGGAACGAGGAGGTTTTTTAGGGGGTAAAACTTGATTTCTTATCTGGAAAGCAAAGATCTTATCACCGAAACCCAATAATGAGTATGCAATTAAGGAAAACGCTTTAAAATTGAAGTTCAAATCTTACCTCCGTACTAGTAGATGCATCTTGTTTTTCAGCAATTTTAGGAAAAATTAGTTCCAGTGGGCTTTGGCCAACTTTTTCAAACTCTTCAGTGTCGGTTTCGGACTCACAGCCTCTATTTATTTAAAGATTTTACTTTATTTTAACTCGGATTTAAAATAGCAAACTTACCTATCATCTTTGCAATGTTGTAGCCCAGGAGCTGATACTAAACAGGGTTCACTACCACCAGTGGCCTTTAATAAATTTTTGTCTAGGTAACTAGCTAATCCAACATCGGATACAGCTTGTATTAGTTTATCTTCAACACCTTTTGCGTCATCAACCTAAATAAAAATGTTTTCTAGTTTGTAGAGAGTTTGTTAAAAGTGAAGCTTTTTTTCTAGATACAAAGTCTTAATACATTGTATGAAACAGCAACTAAAAACTAAAAAGCATTCTGATGTTACCTTATCCTCCTTTCCTTTCGTAGCAGAAATTTTCCCCATAAAAAAACTAATTATGTGATTCATATCCGGCACCGTCAAATTTTCAGCAAAATCCGGCACGAGTTTTTTAAGTTTCTCGATATCCTCCTCGCTTATGTTAGGCAATTTTGCATCAAACACAGATGGTGCTTCAATGGCAAACGCAGGTGGGACATCGCCCATGCCAGGAAACAAGGCATTCAGAAAATGCCCATCAAATTGGGAGCCAAACTCTTTCCTACGAGTCAGTTCTTCATTGTGAATGGTCATTTGTTGACAAGCAAGATCAGAGGCCCATAGTAAAAATGTTTGAGAAAATGAGCGTCTCCTTACTACTTCCACAACTGCGTTCATGTAAGTACTTGGAGCTAAGTGAAGTTGTTGAAAGACTTCCAGGTGCTTTCGTAATCTTTGCAAATGCTCGTGGAAGTACACTAATAATGAGTCTAGTTCCCATAGTTTGTCTTCAACGTTTTGAACCCAACTGAAAATCAAAAAATGAATAATTAATATTTATCAATAGTTTTTCAGTCTAGTTTTTGGCTAGAAATTTGGGTTTTTGCTATCATTAGATTTGTGTTGCAAAGTGCCTGGATTTTTACCATGGTTTTAGCTCTAGCAATATCAGCTATTGTGGAGATTTATCCATTTTCATGCAGTTAAGGTTGGGAATAAATTCAAATGATTAACATTATTCTTCAGACTGAAATATTTCCCAGTACACGAAGAAGGTATTGATTAATTGAATCACGCACTATACTATATCTAACATACAAAACGGCTATTGTGAAAATTAGTGCCTTGCACATCATATACCAGACCTTAAAAAAAAATTGGGTTCATTTAACAGTGATAAAACTATGACCATCTGCCTGGAACTATCAAAGGCTTCAGACAGTTCCGCGTATTTCGTGGCCTGCTGTAAGCTTGAGAAGCCAAAGTCAGGTGTGTGGCGCGGCACCTGAGTCAATCGTGTTTATCCGAAAGAAAAAAGCGTGACCCAAAGAAAACTATTGTTATCAATATATTCTCTCATGCTCAAGTGCTATCTCATATGTCGAGGAAGTTAGCAACACATTCGAAGCAGAATCGCTAAAACATGTTCCTACTTGTGCTGCTATGGTCCTGTCTCATCCTGCTTCAAATCTCACCCCGGCAACACGTACTATTTACGAGATACAGCGATTTTTATTTTAGTTGCTAACTTCACTCTTGGCAACACATTGAAAGCATGATCGCTAAAAAAAGGCTCCTGCTTGTGCTTCTATAGTCCTGCCTCATCCTGATTCAAATCTGACCCCGGCAACACGTACTATTTTTGAGATACAGCGATTTTATTTTGGCTGCTAACTTCACCCTTGGCAACACACTGAAAGCAGGATCGCTCAAACATGTTCATGCTTGTGTCGCTATAGTCCTGCCTCGTGCTGCTTTAAATCACACCCCGGCAACACGTACTATATTGGAGATACAGGGATTTTTATTATGGTTCGTAACTTCACCGTTGGCTTGGGATCACCAATTGGAATTAAGCTGGATTTATAAACTCTGACGTCCGCGCCCGCGCTCGCGCTCACGCTCAACATAAATGAAGCAAATCAAATAAACCATTGACTCTGAGCACAATGAACTATCCAAGATGCTGTCAAACTTGAATTAAAATGGCCGCCAAGAGGCACACAAACCCTTTTTTTATGTGTCATTCAATGTGTCATGAAATTTTTTTCAAAAAAATAGTGCTCATTGTTCATTTGCGTTTTGATACTCGTTCTTTTTACTCGTATTTTTATTAATGTTAGAATTAGAAAAGATCCCTAGGGCACTCCTGCAGTGATATCCAACCCCTCTGAAGTACTGCACCCCTAGAAGCAGTACTTCATGACAGACACAATCGAAAGCTTTTTTCAGGTCACAAAAAACTACCGCGGCCACTTCTTCGTCATTTATCTTCTAATATAGCTCATCCAGGAGATGAAATATGGCATCATCAGTGTTTTTTGACTGCTGAAACAGAGACAGAGAAAGCAATTTATATCTATCAAGGAAGCTCACCATCCACCTTAATTAGCCACTCTACAATTTTAGTCTAAGTTGCCAGTAAGGATATTGGCCGGTAATAAGATGGTAAATTCTTATCACCCCCCTATTAAACAAAGGTACTACCCAAGATTGCTTCAAAAATGAGGGAAAACTTCCGGTAAGAAAAGAATTAATAATGGAATCCGCCAACACATCAACAGCGTAACTGAGATATCTTCCCATCCAGAAGATTTTCTATTTGATACTCAGTTTCTGAGCAATCGTATGAATTAATATTATCTGCTTTCAAATTGGAAGCACATATGTATATTTCTTTTTTTTTTTTTTTCGCGTAGGTCGTTACTCTTCTTGTTTATTGGATGCGGATGCCCAACCTCTCATTGTAATAAATCTTCCTTGCCTGTTTCATCGTCTTTCTGTAGATGCTCCTGTATCCATTATTTAAAGTAGGTAGCACAACACTGGACGGTGGAGTTGCAACAAATAAATATTTTCACATTTTAAGGGTAGGTCCTGGGTGTCCAAGTGAAATGTAGGTAGAGCAATCTTGCCCAAATAATAGGAATTCCGTAATTGGGTAGAAACGGCCAAAAATTGAGACGCACACAATAGAAAATGAGTATTTGATTATGATCATTAATGACATAACCTAATGACGTTATGGTTTGTGTTTGTGTCAAATGTTTGTGTGCCTCTTGTCGGCCATATTTGTGTCACGTGTTTTGGATAGTCTAATACGCGGGCCAATGACACTGCAGCAACAAATGACTGTCAAAAAGTTTATAAATCGTTTCCAACGCGAACTCGAACTCGGGCGTGAGCGCGAGCGCGGGCGCGGGCGTCAAAGTTTATAAATCCAGCTTTAACCAAAGTTCATTGACAAGTAATGTCTCAATTTAGTTGGGCAATACGGATGTTATATTAAATAAAGCAAACGCATCAGGATGTTAGCAAAAAGCTTAGAGCCAACGACCTAGGTTTTAGGTCAATGATTTTTGCTGACATTCCTGAATCGATTTGAATCGATAAGGCGTCATTTTCGAGTTAGTTGTAAATCTAAATTCGGGCGCTAAAGTTGTGCTACGGGCTACGCTATGTGCTACAGAAAGATGGGTCTCTGGTAAGTACCGTGATTTAACATTTATAAATTATATCTATATAGTGTTCTCATCTATAAATCAACCCTTTAGTTGTAATCAATAAACTTAATTATTCCCAACTTATTGTTTTAATTCAATAAAACTCCAAAAGACCCCAAACCCCTAGTTGCAACAAAATAGGTTGTGACACTATGGTGCGGCCTCATTCTGCTTTAATTTTCACCCCAGGAACACCTAATATTTTTGAGACAACACTGGTAGCATTTCAAGAGTCTATTCGTAGGAATAGAGAGAGCTCGAGACACCGTTGCCAAATATATCGTAATGAGAGCTTGTCTCTGTATGTTGGTATTTTAGACGGAAAGAACTAATCTAAAGTAATGATGTGACGAATAGTAGTTTGGCCGAATAACCGAATACCCGATATTCGGCTGAATTTAAACCGAATATTCGGCCGAATACCGAAAGCATGTCAGAGCTATTACAATTTGCACGAGGAAATATAAGGAATCAGTTAATACTATAAGAGCCGAGCATTTGGTATTTCTACATCAAAACCTACCACCTAGTGATTTTCAATATTGATTATTCTACTCCTGATTGTCCTACTATACTAATATTTTTTTATTATATTCTCTGTTAAGTTGAATTCTTTAACGCCAGAAGTTTGTTTTTTCATTTTCTTTCATTTTCTGAATTGATATTAATTAGTAATATGTTAAAAAATTAGTTACATGAAATATTCGGTAGTGAAGATCGAATATTCGGCCGAATACCAAATAGCAAAAATAATGCCGAATAGGCCGAATACCGAATAATTATGCGGCTTCGGTCACATCTCTAATCCAAAGTAACCCGTCCCTCTGTAATGAATGTATCTTAGTATTTTAGTATTTTAGATGAAAACAGCTAATTCAAGAATTCAATTAAAAGTAACCCGTCCTGGGATAGGTGACCTCTCTGCGCTTCCGTAGGGTTTTTATTTTTATATTTTTCTTAAAGATTATTAGGAGGACGGGTTTGTTTCAATGCAATCCTTGGAATAGCTCTTTTCGTTTAAAAATCCACCATACAAGGACTAGCATACATTATAAAGACGAGTTAGTTTGGAATAGCTCTTTTCGTCTAAAATACCAGCATACAAAGACTAGCAACTAATATGAGGACGGGTTAGTTTGGGTTAGCTTGGATTAGCTCTTTTCCTTTAAAATACCAACATACTAAGACTAGCATTCATTACAAAAGTATGGGTTAGTTTGAGTTAACTTGGATTAGATCTTTTCGTCAAAAATACCAACATATAGAGACAAGCACTCATTACAATCCATTTGGCAACGGTGTCTCGAGCTCGCCGTATTCTTACGACTAGTCTTTGTAATGCTACCAGTGTGTATCTCAAAAATATTAGGTGTAACTGTGTTTGAGGCAGGACCAAAGCAACGCCTCGGAAATTTAACGCTTTCAGCTGTAAGAAGAGAGAAGAAAAAATATTTGAATTCTTTATGTAATCAAAATGACTCTAAAAAAACGTCCGCCTTGAGGAATTTTAATATTACTTCAAAAAAAAGGATGGATACAATTCCAGGTGACCTAAGGGACCCTGAAAAAATAAACCTTTTTTTTTCTCAATTTCTTCAAAATGCTACCGATTGTAATGAAAGAATACAACATTATCGAATGTAATACCACAAGAGGTTTCAGGATTACCGGATAATACTTTTACCTGTCCCGAAACGCGTTACGCAGCAACACCACGACTCCGAAGGAGGAGTGGTGTTGCTGGTAACGCGTTGAGTGTCATGTAAAAGTATTAGGTAATCCTGAAACATCGAGTGGTATTCAAAAGGTTAGACAACGAACTGAACTTCAATACTTCATCAATTTTCATAATCATTAATGACAAATTAACAATATTGCCACCAAGCGCGATAATCCCAAAAGGCTTATCACTTATTGAGCCTCTCGTGTCATATGGGAATAATGTACAGTGAGTTGTATAATCAAAATAATTATTTCAGTAATTCTTTAAACTTTTCTTTCGATTTGACAAGTGTTGTTGAGGTTAATCAATACATACATGAAATTAAAACGAACCCAACTGGTGTAGATGAGATTTCGCCGCTGATGTTAAGATGCTGTAGCCCTCACATTGACAAATATATTACTCATATTATCAATTAGGGAATTCAATCCATCTGTCAAAAAGGAAAATTCAATGTGGCATGGCGGCCAAGCAAGTTTGTTTTGAATATGTTTTTATGCGTATTTTAAATTATTTTGCATACAGTTTTGCTTACAACTTTGATTTTCATTATTTAATAAAATATTTGTTGACTAGGTACCT